TGCCGCCGCGCCAGGAGTCCTCGCCCCGGCATCCCTTCGGCAGATAAGGCGGAAACGGCCTGCAGCAAGCCGAATGGCTCGCGAAGTGCTTTGGGCCCCCTCGGACCTGAGCTTATTCAGCGTGTTTAAAAGAACATCGCGTGCTATGGCAATGGAGACGGCTTCTTCGCATGAGAGAGGCAAATGGAAAAGAAGGGGCCCAGCAAACACCTCCGCCCCCCACCCAGGGTGGGAGCCTAGGCAGATTAGCACGCATCACTCCAAGTAGAACGGGGCAGACAAGATAGTGCACGATCTGGTCACCAGCCATACATTGGCATCCGAACCTGCACCCCAAGGTGGCCTGGCGGTATCTCCGTGAGGTATTCCAAGCATTACAAATACTGCGCAACAGACTGAGCTGAACGAAGGGAGCGATATGCTGACCGACCATTTTTAGCCGAGAGAAGCACAATTGGGCTTCGGGAGCCCCTACTTGGCCCACTTCCGGAAACCTCGAAGCCCAGTATTGAAGACGCCTCAAAATAAGCTCAGGAAACGGAACCAGGGGCAGATGTGAGAGAACCAGCTTGGTCATTTTCTTCTGAAGCCCATGCTCGAAGACGGTGGGGGCGGTCGGGATTCTGGATAACTCGCGATAGTTCTGGGCCATCATTAAGACGAAGGGCTTGGTATAAACGGGATGTAAATGGGCATCCACATGACATTCGGGGTCATCGAACGCGTCCTCGATTTTCTCGACGCAGGCGAAACAGACCGACGAGGCGAGGGTAGCACGATATGCAGCTGCACGAGCTTCGCGTGAGAGAGATCTGGCACGAGATAGCTTTCCCCCGAGGGATTTCATTCCCACCAGCATGTGATCAGACAGGGCATGCCGCGGCGCACATGTTAAAGACTGCAGACCGAAATGCACTTGCCAACAGCAGTCGGTCGTGGGTGGGAAGAACTGGGCGATGAACATGTGCACAGTGACCGCTATCTGGTTGTACGCCGCAAGAGACATCGATAAGCCTAACTTCAAAGACTTGATGAAGCGGCAGCGGTCGCGGAACTTGACCAGTGGGGCGGCCCAAGATTCCTCTTGGGCCCGAACTCCACGCATCACTCCAAGATACTTGGCGCACTAGGACATCCCGAAGCTCCGAACTCTGATCCCCTGCTGTTGGAACTTCCTCTCCTCCTCCTCCCTGTTAAAGTCGCGGTACAATAATATCGCCGTCTTTTTGAGGTTCGGGATGAGGCCAGCGGCGAGCCCGTCAAGCATCATAACTTTCATGAAAATAGGCACGGCCGTGTAGATGTCAAAGGCGGCGGAGGCAACGTCGTCGGCGAAGGCGCCGTGCATGTGGACAGGACGGAGCAGCCGAAGACAGAGCAAGCGTAGAATCGGATCGAACCCCAGGGCGAACACGCTTCCCGAGAGTGGGCATCCTTGTTTAATCCCGCGGAGGATCCGAACAGAGCAGTGAGACACCCCGCTCGAGAGAATGGTGGTTGTAACCTTGGCATAGAGCGCCTTTATCGCATTCAGCACAAACTCGGGGAACATTCATTTTCTCGAAGACGAAGAAGATCCAATCATGACATAAACTGGGGAAGCCGGCACTAATGTCCAGCAGGATAGCGCCTGCAGTCCGTCGCCGCAGAAGGCCTGCTCCTACGACCATGTGCGTCTCAAACTCAATCAGGTTGTCAAGCATGTTACGGTGTTTGACGAAGCCCCTTTGGATCTCAATAGTGGTGTCCACGCAAACCTCTTTCAGGCGGCAGTTGATCGCGACAGCGACAATTTTGTTGATCGAGTTGGAAAGGGAGATGGGGCGGGTCATTTCAGGGGCCCTCCAGAGCTCGAAACCGTCGCGGTCCAGGGAGCCTTTGGGAAGGAAGACCGAGTTGCTGAGGTTGAAATCGTCCGAAATCTGGCCGGAATTCATGATATGCTGGCACATGACGAAGGCAGCCCACCTAACGAATCAATTTCCTCTGGGCCAGGCAGAGTAACATAGCCCGTCAGGGCCAGGGGCGGAATCGTGAAGCCGATCTAAAACACCGTAAAACTGCTCTTCAGAAAGCCTCCAAATCTGGGCCTCCCTAACTTTTTGAATATGTTCCTCTAGCTGGTCCCTCGCGGCAATTTGAGATGAAACAGAGGCGTGAACTTGACTCCAGTGAGCGGCGAGAGCGCGGGCCCCAGCCTCGGCAGTCGGGAAAGCTAAGACGTGCAGCTCGGTGCTCATAAAACTGGGTGGATTCCGTGGTATGTCCGATGATTTCTTCATATTCTCGTTGGTGCCGAGCGGCAGCAATCTTGGCCATGTACTCTTGCAAGGCAGGCTGGTTGTGCCGCCTGCAACTGTCAGGGTCGAGATAGTTGAGCAGCGCGGGGATGGCTTTGAAAGCCTTCTTCAGCGTGCTTATCTTGTGGCTCCGCATGGCGCGATTCACCGCGAACAACCACTGCCAATGCTGCTCGGCAGAACTGGGCGGCAGCTCAGAA